TTAGCTGGGCGGCATAAGAAAATGGATGACGTTTTCATATACCACGAATGTCAGAGCACACGCTGGAGTCACTCTGTAAAAACAAAAACAAACAAACGTAATCACAAACAACGTTTGTCTCGTGCCTTTTACTATGTTTGTTTGTTTTTTCATTTGCCTTTCCTATACGTTTCATTGTCTAGTTGCTCGTTTTAACTGCATTAGCGAGTTGTTTTCAAAGCTCCGAACTTCCCTGCATACAGTACAAACATTGTAATGGTCATCTTTAACAAGTGGCCACCTTAATTAAGCGAACTCAGCTACCCCTTTACAGCCCATGTTTTGCCTTTCTTTTTAGTTTTGCCTGTATTAACTAGCGTCCACCCGTAAATGTAAGAAAAGGAAGGAATGAGACATTTCGGTGTTAGCGTCAGGGCTCGCAAACACTGTCTGGTTGGCCGGCAGGATAACGGATAGTGCTTTATCATAACGGTGAGTTTATTCCCCGTTACGGTTACAAGTCAGCAACTTTGTTGAAAGAATAGAAAGTGAAAGATCAATACAGATCAGGGTCGCCCCGGTATAGTTCGCCTGAAAGGACGTTAATTGCTTTATAGTTTGATAGAATGAAGAATTGAATGAAGTGTTCTTCTATGAAGACTATCAAAAGTTGCGTTTCGACGGCCACACCTAGTGGGTAATTTTTGCGATTTTTTTTTCAGCGGCAACCTTCATTAGGCGGCAAGTCTCTTAAGTACCGGGCGAGTGTGACCATTATAAACAGGTCAAACTACAGTTATCATTTTCTGTTATCACTTCAACTTCCCATGCCTATTTTTGTGTGTTGGTTGGTTAGTCTGTTTCTCGTATGAGCCTTATTTCAGGCAAATAAAGCAGTTGGTATGCGGCATGTTGGAGGACCGGGTGTAAATCCCGGCCGGTCACAGAGTTCATTACAATCAAAAGAAAATACCACACCGCTGTCTGTTTAAGACCTTGCCTCAGACCAGACGATCGGGAAGTGGTGTTAAAAATCGGAAAAGGCAATCATAATATCGCGGATCATAATGATTATAGTCACATAGATATCTGCGCGCTATACATTCTTAAATTATTATCATTATTAATTATTTTCTAATCCTTTGGCCTTACTTCCTTCATCCTTCCTCTCATTAATAGTTCATCAAAAGTGGACGAACCTTCGTTTTGAGCCGAATTTTCGTCCCATTTCGTCTCATTGCGCGAAATTTCGCCGACAATAGATGCACCGTAATTTTACCGATACTCCCTCTCGAAATTCGTGAATTTTGACGAAATTCGGAGAACTTTGATATCATTACTTTCGCATAGTGTTGTAAAACAACTAACTGCCACTATTGTTGAAAAAGAATAGGAAATGTTTCCCAGGTGGGGTGGTCTACTGCCTGTTTTGTTTTACTAATCATACATAGTACGGGGTGGGAGGATAACAGTAAGCTTATGAATGGACCAATAGAGCCAGCCAGAGACGTCGCCGTATGCTACCTTCCGGGTTTGTTTGTTTGTTTGTTTGTTTTTTTGGCTTTTTCACGCACAGTTGCGTTAACAACTGCACTGATCTTTCACGTGTGAAGACCAAGCTTATATCCGCGACATCTACATTACAGTTCTGGCCCCGGTTGATTAAATGTACTATAGCGCAATCCACCGGATAAATCACCATCCAGTGTGGATACGTATTATGGATACCAACTGCGTTATCCGCTGGATAGTGATTTATGCAGTGGATAGCGTTAGCTACCTTTTGAATAACTAGGGCCTGCCAATTACTCACTGTCATCCAGACAGGTTAAAACCGAGGAGTTCTTTTGTTGGGGATCTCACCTGAGAACATTAGGAACCAATCCTTTATAAAATCCTCTCACTCCTTCGTATCTAGAAAGTCGACAAAAAAGCTACGTCAGAAGGCGACTGTTTAAGGTATAAATCGTGGTGCGCTGGAAAATTTCACTTTCAAAAACTCCTTTCAACAAAAAAGAAAATCGACGCAGCGAGTCCCTCATCTCACCTGAACGTTTTACGGATAACGTCCACTGCTCCATTGTATTCGGCCATCGTGTATTGATTCTAAAAAACAAAACAAAACAAAACAACATTGCGATAGAGGAAATTAGCTCTGATGAATAAACTAGCTTAAAACTATATAAAAAGAAGAGGGAGCTTTAAGAACTGAATTTTTTTTTACTTTGTATTTAAAAAAAATTACTTGGATGAGCTTTTTCTTGACACTTGCTCCACAACTACCCGTTTCAAGGTGAATAAAAACGCATTTTAAAGATTTTAAAATCTTCGGACAATCTAGTTTCTCGCATTAGATCGTGAGCAACGGTGTATTTTAAAAGTCTTTAGTCTCTAGTATTTGTTTAAGCAAAAATACATTCAAGATAAACTAATATAAAACTTACATTTTGCAAAATTTAAAATCAATTAAAAAGCTAAAAGAGTACAAAACTTTAAATTCTGTATACAATAATAACATAAGCATTAAAAAAAGAACTTAACGTTAGATTGCTACGTTGTTTTTAATAAAGAGTAGTAGTAACCCCTATGGAGTTGGCTACTTGGAACTCGCAGGCGCACAGAGCTTTCTTTTGTTTCGGAAAGAGTAGGAAACAAAGGGTGGCTGGGCATGCTGCTGTCATAGTAGGTAGAGTCGGAACAAAACGGTAACGTCCTGATTACAACTCCCTCGCGCGTTTGACTCTGCTTACGAATCCGAGTTTTGATGGGTTGTAAGCGTTTTAACGACTGCTCTTACGACTTCAACCCGGACTCCGTCGCTAGGGAAAAACAGCTGTAAGTTTATATGCGTTCATAACTTAATAATAGGCCCTTTGCAGCTAGCCATTCAAGTGATACAAAAAAAAAACGTAATGCTAGCGAGCAAGAATCGCACTGGGAAAAGACAAACAAAGGGAATTACGATTTTAAATGACGTGAGCATTTAGACTTGCCACAAGTCCACTGCGCGAAGCGAGCGAAAGAGAAATCGCAAGACGAGCGCCAACTGACCACCGAACAAGCAGATACCGGAAACGGAATTCAGAAAGTCTAGTGAGCCTTTTGTTTGTCTTGTCTCAGTACGTCCCTTTCTCTCCAGCATGGCGGTTTTGTACCACGTGAATCACTACCTGAAAAGTGCCTGTTGGAATTAATCTTGCGGACAGAACCTTACACTGAGAGATAAGTAGGAGGTCTATTTACCTGTAGTCTTGATCTGACTACTTGATACGGATAGGTGGCCGTGGCAGCGAAGATCTTTGATAATGATGCCATTATCAAGTACTCTGTTGAACTCTAGAAGGAGGAAGAAACAATGCATACTAAGGCTCTGTTTTAGCGTCGTCTTGGTATAAGAACAACTTTCTACTTGCTACATGTAATCCGGAGAAGTTCGTGCCGTGACCTGTGTAAATTTTTGAGTCGTGGACATTTGTATATAGTTTTAGATTTTAGGTAAGATGATTAATTTAAAAATCATTTAATAGATTAGTGTGTCAGCACGTAGGAAAGTGCCCCCAATTAGCTAACTGTTAAGCTAAATACATATGAGAGGACGAGGCCGAGATCCTGGTTGCTCGAGCCGAGATCTCAGCAAGCGGGTCAGCCCACTTTCTCGTATAAACACAAAGTTCCCCAACAGGTGCGTCTTAAGCTAAAGATAGGTTGAGATAGAAGGAAAATTTCAAAAGGCTGGGCCGATGTTTTTAGTTTGACAGGACTCAAAAACGATTGACTGTGGTTTGCTCACACCTTGAAGAAAGGCTTTAGCAGTTTTCTTATTATTCAATGACCTGTTACTATAAGTGAACAGCTCCATTAATTCTGGCAGAGAAAGACTGCTGGTAGCCTATCCAGGCATATGCCAGAATCAATACTTAGGACTCTCAGGCTTTTAAGTTGACTGGTCGGTAAAGAGGGGACCAATGTTTTCAAATTTAGCTGTGCTATTTGAGGAAAATCAATTAGAAATCATTGATTGTGGTTTGTTCGTGCCTTACAGCTGTAGTTGGAGAATGAATTTCTACGAAATCATGCTCTTGGTGTTCAAAGGTTACACGTATCATATACATCAGCGAGTAAACCTCCACAATTTTTCTCGTGATGATGCGCCTTTTACGGAAAACAATAGTACTGGTCCAGCGGGGGAGGGGGTACTTTTGAAAATTACGGTGGGGGTGTGCAGCATGCTTCCTGAAAGCCTAACCCTACGTCAGACCAAAAAACGTGATTTGTCCTGCCTTACGTCAGCTTTCAAGAGACGAGTGATAGAAAGAAGCACAACATATCCAAGAGCCTTGTTTTAGAGAGGAAAAGCTTACTCTGTTTCACTCCAAGAAAGGGGTCAACAGCCGTACCCTGTGCAAACTAAGCCGTGCAATTTAACAGTATATAGCTTATATTAGGTCGGTATCACTTTTCTTAGCAAACTGCTAGATCTTCACATTCTTAAAATAAGCAGCAACAAACAGAAATACCCTCTCAAGCAGAGAATGCAAAAACAGTATGCTAAGTAATTATACAATCACATCCTGTTGTAATAATGAAATCTATAGTTTCTGTACTGAGAAGTGAGCATCCTTGCTCGTGAACGAAACTTAAGTTATGATCAATGTGAACAACCACTTAAGACTGACTTGTTAACTTACCAATTTTTTATTGATTGGTGTACCAAAGTAATGGCTGTAGCCTTTCTTAAGTTCTTCATAAGCCATGAACTGGAGAGCACCATGTGACACACCAAACAGTCCGGGGACGTAACCCTATTGAACAAAATACAGAGTACATGTAGCAGACATTCCATTGCGATTAAACATTTCAAGTGGGCTAATTTTGTAATTTGTACCATTTGCATTGAGTCAGGCTCTAGTTGCTCAAAAAGTTGATAACGCTATCCACCAGGCCCCAGTTTCTTTTCCTAAGGTTGATAACGCTATCCACCAGGCCCCAGCTTATTTTCCTAAGGTTGATAACGCTATCCACCAGAAAAATCCTTACCCACTAGATGGCGTAATTAGTTTTCCTCACACTCATTTACTGGATAATGATTTATCTGGTGGATAGCGCTATCTGACAGAAAAAAGAAAATCGTCATCGCTCGTTTACGACCCCCACAAAACGTGAAATTAGGCAATTTTCACGTCGTAGTCGTGCGGTTGCTGCAAATACATGTTCAAGAAACTGTGCAGAGTTGTTGCTTTTTCCGCCATAAAACCACTAATTGTTTTTAAAGGTTCTTGTTGCCCTAATCACCGTGATTGCGTAAATGTCGTAATACTGAGGACGCCGTTTATGTCAAGCAACATTACTTAGCATGGCAAACTTACTTTGTATAATCCTCGGAGTCCCTCGTGTCTCCAAAGTTTAAAAAGGGCATCTAAAAAGTAAGAATTACGAAATGATTTTATAATAAACACAAATACATGTAGGATCTATGTCTCTGTAAATCAAGGTCACACAGACATTGTGTCAGACAAATAACTGTAATAGGAGGAACTCGTTATTTTACCACTACAACAAGTAAATGGAAAACGGCTTTCCATGTTCCCTTATTGGAAAATTCCCGGGAGCAACGGAACATTTGAAAAGGTGGCCCTGTTTTTCCGGGACGAAATATTCCAAACAGTAGACTGCTTGCAGTCCGCCTTTTCTCCTAAAATCCGTCTAGTTCTTATCTCATCCAGCGCGATTGCAAACCACGACGTTATTATTACAATAAACTTTGCAAAGAAAAATAAGAGACTGCTCGCAATCTACCCAAACGGAGATTCGTGCTCCATTTGTTAATACTTATCTTTGATACCAGTTTCAGGCCTTCGCGGCTGTTTTTCGGTAAGTGGAACTGATTTGTAAAACAAATAGTAAACCCCATTCCGGAATGAAATTTACTGGGTCTGAATTTTTCAAACCATTCACCCAACCCGTGAACCGACCGGTTTGCCCATTCACCACTTTAGAAACGACCAGAGAACTGGAGCCGAAATGCGTCCCGCAAGTGTTTCTGGGATTGTTACTGGGGACGCGCCAGTCAGCTATTGGCCAATTTTTTTTCCTGTCCCTGGTAACAGTCCCAGAAGTCTTTGCGAAAGTTAAGTTGGCCAAGTTTCCTTCTTTCTTACCAATCATCCCTTTGTATTGCGGTGCTTGAGTAACGGCAGCCGGTGAACCAGTGTACTGAAGACAGAGGCGAGTCTTGATAACCCATATTGGATTTGTCACTGTTAGTGTTCCAGTTCCTAAAAGGGAGGAAAATACATCAACTTAACTTATAAGAATGATGGATACCGGGTGTCACCCAATCCTCTCAACCCTGTGTATAAATCATCACGGACAGACAATTGGGGATGACACTGTGTAAGGGGGCAGAGGAGTTTGGTTTGAACTTGATTCCTGTTAGATAATTACATAATACAATGCAATACAATAAATTTTATTAGCTCTCCCAAAGGACTATTCTGAAGTTCATTTACAAATGCTAAAATGAAGGGGATAAGAAGAAAAAGCTTAAATTGATTACAATCTTAGTACAGAACTAAAAGCCTAAACTATGCGATTACATTTACGTTATCTCGTTGGAGATCTAAACTAAACCAAATATTAACTGTTTAACGTATGGGGTCTGCTCCCGCGATTCGCTCTTCTTAAAGGCACACAGTGACGGACTATTATTTTCTAGTGTCTGCAGTCAGAGAGTTCCAGGCACTTACAGCGCGATAGTAAAATGACCGTTGCGCAGTATCTGTTCTGCAAAGAGGGAGATTTAGATTGTCCCTTTTCCTCATGTGGTAGTAGTGTACGCCCGATGATGATGATGATAATGATAAACTTTATTTCAGTGTCAAGCCTTCTAGCTGGCCATGTAAGGCTACTAATAGGGGACACCAAATTAAAATACTATCAGCTCTAACTAATTAATATTTATATATAATTATATATAAAAAAAGAAAAAAAAGGAAAAAAAAACTCTTGATCGCTTACTGAGTTTACTACTCAAGTACAACGGAGCGAGGCTATTAACAATTTTGTGTACTTGGGTAGTATCACGGACTAATAGCTGATCTTTGATGGGCCACCCTAATTCCCAAAGAACAGGAGACGTGATTAAACTTTTTAGTATCTGTTAATACGCGGACGGCGAAGTTTTGCACTAATTGTGGTGCGAGAGTTGTGTTAAATGTACCTGCTATAGCCCCAGCAAGAAGATGCTTCTCTGCTCCAAGAGGCTTATCTGAGTCCTTCTGCATCCAAGCTTTTAAAATGTTATAACTGTATGAAGAAACCAAAAACTATTTAAAAATAAATAAGAACTGATGCATGGCACAAAATAGCTTCTTGGCTCATGCCTTTAAAAATTCTTTTTTACACAAACAGCAAAACCTCATAACAAAAACAAACCTAGTTTAAACGCTCTTTAAAACCACGGCCTTAAAAACTAACGAGAAGGTTCTGTCGTTTCAATCCATGCTTGTTTCCACCTTGGCCGGGATCCCAAGTGCTGGGTTTTTGCCCTTGCTACTGAAGTATACAAATGTACAAATTTAACAGAGAAGAAAACAGGAGCAGTAGGAACTCAAACAGATAGGGAAGAAGAAAATGGAAAGAAAAGAACCTCCTCGCTGCTCAATTTGCATATACCCAGTAATGTGCAGTTAAATATGTACATAAATCTAATGAAGGTTCAAAATAAAGAATTTTGCACAAAATATTGTTTTGTTGCCTATTCTAATAAATTACCTGAAAAAGTACAGTCCCCATGCAGAGCCATTACCCCATACATTCGGAGTCACACCCTGGAATTCATAAAAAAAATAACTTGTACTCATTATCATTTAAAAAAAGAAAAGAAAAGAAAGGTGAGCTAAATAGGTTAGCTGATAATCTTATAGCTTTTTTTGTCAAAAACTTTGTTTATTGGTAGATTAAGTCTTCACTGTTGTACTTTGGGAACTAACTTGTCTGAAGTCTTCTCTATTTGGATTGCACAGAGAGAATGGACAATAGCAAAAGCATGACCGGAAGGGGGCACAAGGTGTGGTGACCTTCACTGACCATGTTGTTGCATGCTGGTGTTTTGTTGTGTAACTAATAATACAGTGTAAAGTTAACCCTTAACAGTTGCATAATTATGGAATGATTGTTCAAAATTCCCAAAATGAAAACGATTCTTCCTTGCTGAATTCACGGCTACATGTAAGCTTACCAACTTCAGAAAAGTATTAAAAAATCTGTATTTTTTCATGATGAATCAAAACAAACAAACCAGTCTCCAACCACAGGGTTGTTTTTACTATAAAATTTACTAACCTGGTATAACCCCTTTAAACCCCCAGTTCTGACAATGGACTGCACTGCATCAACTAAACCTCTGTATGCTGGCAACTTCCCACTGCCATCATTAACTAATAATATTAATGAAAACATTCAGATAAAAAAATGAAACAGTCACATTAAATGTATTAAAATAATTATTATTGTGTTTTCTACATGCAGATAGGGATTAACAGCAAATTAAGCCCAAGAATTGTAAGGACTTCAAAAGGATCCAAATTCTTGGCCGTCTTAGTGCTGCAGTACTCAACACAGTACCTGTACATTGGGAGCAGTTCACCTGAAGCAAAGTACCAAGCTTTTTGAAAAAAAAAAATCCACTTTTCAGCATAAAACAACCAAATCTGTCTATTTCATGTAAAATCAGGTGACAAATTTGGTAAAAGGTCATTTTTAGGTTTTTTGATTAACCCATATTATTATTCATTCAAAATATTTCCCCCATTCTGATTGGCTAAAGGCACACGCATAATTTACCATAACCAGCTACTGATGACCAAATTTGGAAGAATTTTGCAATCAATCAACCGATCACGTCAAAAGTACAGCTTTCTTGCAGGTTAATGCACCATTAATAGAGAAGACCTGGGGACTAGGTTGAGTTGTTTTGGTTGTGAAAACAAAAATGGTGGACATTTCTCTCGTTTCAAGATTAAGAACTAGGTGAAATAATGGCTAAAAACATGGTGCATGTAAGAACAGCAAGAAAGCAACTCTAAGGGCAACATCTGCTATTTAGAGAATATTTGCCGAGCTGAACAACCCTAAACGTGCACTATCCAAGATGAACTTAAGATCGATGGAGGTAAGCATGTTTCAGCTATGTTTTTAAACTAGGAATTACTTTTAATGAATAATAAAGCATTCATTGAATTCAGCTTTCGTATCACATGAAGAATTATGGAGGTCTCAGAGGGTGTTATCCGCCTCAGCCAACCCTCCTCGATCCACAAAATTCTTTATAAGATACTCAGCCTCATTTATTAATTGTTAATTTAATGAAAAGAAACATAATTCTAATGAAGATGATGTGAACCACAGATTGGGGAAGTACAGCTGTACAAGACCTGTTATCTTCCTCTCTTTCTAAGTCCATCATGTTTCTATTTTCTAGCTCATCATAGGCCTTGTGAATAGTTGGTCACCTGATCAACTTTCTATAAATAAATTAATCCCGAAAGGCTTAACTTTGGAATAATCACGTTAGCAGGAACTGAAAGAGCATAAATTATTAAAATTTTGTAACTTGTACATCTCATATACTGTACTATGGCTGTATAATTATCTCAAAAGCAACGGTTGCAATGGCCGCCAAAAATTAGGGGGATTTGTTTTTGAAAAACCCATCACATGTACAGGTATGAGTCTTTGGTTCTCCTATGAGAAGGAAATCTGGAGTATGTTTACATGTAGAGGTATGAGTCTTTGGTCCTATGAGAAGGAAATCTGGAGTATGTATATGTACAGTACCGCTCAAATTAAAAGTAAGTTACTAGTCTAGTTTCACTTCTCATGAGATGAGCGTCTCATCTCTAAAGACAAGTGTCTTGTCTCGAAAGACAAAAGAATCATCTCATGAGAATTACTTAAGTATTAATTTTGGAATATGTTAGGGAAGCTCGACATCTCCAGGACTGAGAACGAAAATGACAACGAAACTCTCTTGTCAAAGCGCTGTCGCGATTGAGCTTGAAACTGAAGTAAAGTTTTAAACAGTCTGGGAATATTTCTCGTTTACAAACAATTTAAACTTCTTTAAACTAATTTGGTCCGTCTTAAAGTCAGCAAAAATCCAAGGCAAAAAAATTGCACGTGTCAAGTTACATGTAAAAGTTGTTACCAATCAAACAAAAATTTGCGTCTCTGCAAATGCAAATTGTGTGATTCCGAAAAAATTCCATACCCCCCCCCCCCCCCCCCAATGGATGGTTCTTCCAATTATTAGACCCCCCCCCCCCACCCCCCAGGAATTTCCTATTTTCCTTTTGAAATGGTCTGAATTTGCCGCATTTAGAGATTATCGACCGTGTACTGCTTAAAATTAACTGTTCTTATCTTAAGACACAAGGGCAATACCTATTTCTTATGCAGTTATAGGATGCTTTATAGACTATCCGCAGTCTCTCTGTTTTATTAGTCTCTCCAGCGAAACGCGCGAGGCACGAAAACAGAGATTAATATTATTAACTTGTTCATGTCATCTCAAGAAAACATTAAATGTTTTCTTGAGATGAACATAACTTTAAATTTGAATTATTCATTGAAATAAAACTATGTGAACATTATTTTTCGAATTTTAAAATGAATCTACTTACAGACAAAGTTAGACAAAGTTGATTTCTGGTACTGTAATTAAGTTTCACTATGTACATGTCTTGTCTAAGTCAGTTTCATCTAAAATGCAACATTTACAGCATAACTTTGAAGTTAACTATTAATTTAACATTAAACTATGTGAAGATATTCGAATTTCAAAACAGATCCACTAGGCAACTAACTTACACACAAAGTTTATCGTTAAATGTTCGGCCTCAGCTCCTAAAGTCACCAAAAGTCGATTTCTCGATGTTTGTAGTTAAGTTTAACTTTGAATGAATTACACTTGCAGTTATATAAATTTCAGGAATAACAAAAAACCTATTTGGGTTATGAAAGAACAAAATATGCAAACATTCATTTTGCGTCCCATATTTGCTTCGATTCATGTTCAGAAATGAACATCAGTGAAACAAGATCTATTTTGTTACCTAGCACGTGGTCGAAAGTCTCCTCCACAAAGAAGAAACAGATAGTTAATATTTTCGGGCGAAAGTTGATTTGGCGAGAAGTCTGTTAGCCTGTTCACAGACCCTCTATTTCCTCTTCAAAGTCCATCGAGCGTAGGTGATAAATTATAAACCCGCAAGGGATTTATTGACTGCCAGTGCAAGGGGGTAGTGGTGAAGGAATAAGAAAATAGTCGTTCTTTATTTTTCTTTCTCATGTTCCGCGCTCAACCTAGCGCACTCCCGAGCTCCCCGATGTTTTCGAAGAGAACGATAAGAAAAATAAAACAATGTGTGTGTAAAGGCTAGAAGTCTTTTGAACAAACAGCTTGCCTTCAACTGTACTCTATTTATAGTTAGTCAATAATAAAACCAAGCAAAGGTCTGATTTGGGTCGTCACGCAACTGCTTTGTCGCGATGAGCTCACTGAATGTCAACAGAAATTTGCATTTAATTGTTTACACAAAGCTCGAGAAATATAGCGCCGAGATAGACGACATTTGTTCTCGATTAGCCTACACGTAAGTTTTTATCAGACTATCTGCAATCTAGATACATGTTTGACATAAAGAAATTATTATTAATCGATGCGCTAAAATTTATTCCAGGAGAAGCAATGGACCTGTTGAGAATTGCACCGAGATTGCGATTGATTTGCTCTAAGGTTGATATTTATTTAAAGACTTAAAGACCCGTGGGGGGGGGGGGGGGGGGGTGGGGTTTTTTTGGAACACCCCCCCCCTATCACACGCCCCCTTGCGAAAAAAAGATGGCGTGCAAATACTTATCTATATTGTCTCTTACTCGCCCAACACCAAACCCTGTCTTGCCACTACGCTATGTGTAAGGGGGGGGTATGGATATTTTCTGGAATCACACATCTCTAAACCTGCAGCTCTTGACATAATCATGAGAGGTTCAAATGGTCTCATTGCTTTGCATTATAGGCCCAAACAGCAAGCGATTCTCGAAGCTTGCATTGTGGATATGTTTTGCATGCCCTGAGTCGGTTTGAAATGAACATTGATGACACCAGATCCATTGGTCTGTTTTCATTGCCTTGCAATAATTGATGTTTGCATTTTGAAGTTTACTTTCCGGCCTTTATGACATTTGGATCTGAGGAAAGTTTTTGGTATTTCCAAATTCATTCGGAGATTACGGCAACTATTTGTTCACTCTTTATTTTGATAACATTCTCTTGACCCAAGGGAAAGCCATTTGTTTCATCACTTTGTTTGCTTTCAAACCCGTAGAAAGATGGCTAAAAGAATGACCAATCCAACATTGTCGACATTTTCCTTTATGTATTAATTTACATTGTATCTCATAAAAGCCAATAGAAATTTTGACCCCTCCTATTGATCGATAGAAGGGAGTGAAGAACTCTTGGATTGTTCCTGCATTACTAGAAAGTACATGCTGAAGCATTTAATACAGTCATTCATTTGGTTGATTTCTCCTTGTTTACGTTTTAAAGTAGCATAATTGTTAGTATCTTATGAGGTGTTTTGAGACTCAGTTTGATCAGTTTTTATAAAACAAACAAACTCACTTTGAAAAGTTTCAATACTGTTTTTGCCATAAAAAGGTCCAAGTAAAAGTGTACAAGACAACCGCATTCTTTCATCAAAGTTTATGTCATGAATCAGAGGTCTAATGCATGACATGATCAGAAAAGCAGAACACAGGATTAATTTCATCCTTAAGTCCATCAACATTCCCAAGACCCTTTGATACTTACAGGTTTTCAACCCTCTTGCAAGACAAACGAGAGTCTCGACTCAAGAGACAAGACTTTTGCCTTGGGAGACAAGACTCTCGACTCGAGAGACGAGAGCCAAGATGAGACTCTCGTTTCGCGAGAGGGTGGTAGCTAATACTTTAGCCTGCGTAGCAAGCGTTTCCAGTCGAGTTATTGCACGAAAGGTAGAGCGGCAGCAAAAAAATAGGTTGAAGGGGGAGGGGGAGGGGAGAATAGGAAACGCTTGCAGGCAAGCCTCACGATTCTGGAAAACGCCCCTTGAAATTTCAAGGTTCGTTTCATTTGTAAATTGACAGCTCGTCAAAATAAAAGTATAACGAACAGATTACCCCTGGATTACCAGATTTGTAAAATTACTTTGTTCTCCAATAGAACACGTTCCAGGCGATTGCAAAAACTGTAATAAAAGAAGGTTTATGATAACAGAAGGTTAAAACTCTGAGCGATTATTGCAGAATTTCTTGTTTTTTAATGTGTGGCTTTATCTCACCTTGTCGAAACGTCAAAAATGATTTGTCCGGAACAATTCACTCCGCCGGCCATAAGTTTTGCAGAGCGGCTGCTCTTCAGCCCATGTCGAAACGTTCTCTACAATACATGCTGCTAAATTTCCAATAAACAAAAAGAATCTTTTCATTTCAAAAAGCTGACAAATCGCATGTCCATGGCAGCTTAAGCTAATGTCGAGAACCGATGTTGTGATTTACGTTTATGTTATCTCCATCAAACAGACTATTTTTTCCAGCCAGATCCCCACGACGTCATTCCCAATAAATTGGCCTTCACTAGTGTCCACTGCTTGATCTCCTATTATACTATAACAAATCTGATCTCATAAACCTTCGCACAAACGCGAATCAAATAAAATTCAGTCCAAAGCAATTGTAATCTGTGACCACAAATCAGATAAGACCAGATCTGTGGCGCACGTAAACAAAGCATACCTGGTTTGATTGATGTTTCGAGTGCTAAGTAATCAACACTACCAGCACCGCACCAATCAGAAGCTGCGTTCGTGGGCGAACGCAGTTTTTCAAAATCGTGGGGTTTGCGGGCAAGAGTTTCCTTCTTTCCCCTCCCCCTCCCCTGTCATTCCTTTTTTTTGCTCTCGTCCCAACTTTTCTCAATGAACTCGTGCGGAAACGCTTGCTACGCAGGCTACTAATACTTTTGAGTGTTACCATGTTCAGGATGGAGATTGTTTATATTTTAATTTTTGGGAAAATGTGATAAATGAAGCTACATTATAATAATTGCAATAACAGTTGGAATGGATTCCATGTGCGTCAGTGTAAGACAAGAGTCAAGCTTATCACCTCCATCTTAAAGAAAGGGATGACCCAACTCAAGGTGACCTTTTAGGAGAAAATTATGTCTGTCGTGAAGTGTTTATACAACCTAGATTCGACATTCATGCCAGTTGCATAGCATTGCATTTAAAATTGCAATACATTTGCACGTTAAAAACAACCAACTGATTCATTGCACCTTACCTTGAAACCTAATTTTTATCAGATCCAACGGATGCAGAACGAGAGTCGAAGTAACGCCTCCTGACACGCCAGCCACGAGATGTTCGTAGCGAATAAAACGAGTTACAGAGGGGCTGTTTGATGCTGGAGGGCGCTCAGGAATTGCCTGACGTTCACTCATCGCAGCTTATAGTTTTCGTTAAACGCGTGAAGGCTCCGGGGTGTCAAATATGAAGAAATTGGAGGCAAACAACATAGAGTTTGAATTTCATCATCCAACACCGTCCGCCATTTTTAAACGCTCTACTTACCAGTCCCTTACTCGGCCCTCTCAGACCCATATCCCTTTCACCCAAATCACAGGCATACCAAGACTCATTTTCGACCATGAAACAAGAAACAAAGGTGCACATAACCTGAGATCAGGCGTTATTTTATTTTTATTTTTTGCTTCTTTGCTTCTTTGGCTCGAGAGGGAAAAAAATAACGCCCTCTTCCCGTGAGAGACATAAAAAGATAATAGGGAGAGGGCATGATCTCAGGCTAAGGTGCACATGACGTGACATCCTGTATATCAATCTTTACTTTATTCTCAAAATGTTTGAAATTACAAATCCCAGGATCTAGATTTCAATATACACCCTAGAAGAGAGAGTTTTTAAAAGCTTCAAGTATGCGCAAACGTCAGATTCGACCCAGTGAGAATTTTTCAAAATAGAAAATTAGCAGATAAAAACAGCTCAGAAAATTCTTATGGATTTCTTGCGTGAAACTACTAGTTTACGCGTAGAAATAATGAACAGTAGGCGACAAGCAAACGGCAAACTTGGTCACGTGGTACAAATTAGCGTTTGCCGTTTGACGTAAACGTGATGCTTAACCGCTCTAATAAAAGGGATCTTGTGCCTTTGGCAAATAACTACCCCCTGCTTTTTACTTAACAATCACAGGCGACGATTCCTTCAAGGCTGGATAATTACTAATCGCTAATGAGTGGGAAGTCAGTCAACTTCTGACTGTTATAGTTCAACTATAAGAGTCAACTCCATAACGTTGGTCAGTTCGGTAGAAAATTGCAGGCAACTAAGGGATTCAAAGGCAGGCAAAAATAAGATCTACCTATTTTCATGTCCAACTACAAGTAATTTTGACTGCAGTTTAATCTTTTTTAATAAACATCTCCCATATTCTCTATTAGAGGTAAAATTATTCTTTATATCGCCCAAGGAGCGCACCGGTATTTTTTACCGCGTACAATAATGTTGTGATTAAACCTAATTTTATATATCTTAATGGATTCCTCCTATGCCTACCAAAGGAACAGAGCTGATATCAGAGATGGTCTTCGTCTCTTATTGTGTTCAAAATGTTGCTTAGTTTAGATGCATAATTTGATGAGGTAATTCATCAATTTATTATAGGGCTAGGTGGGAGGATTTTATCATTAAACCAGTTCATAATATTTGATCGCCTGTTTAGTAATATGTCTTTGTTATTTTTCCACGCCCAGACAAACACATGACTGCAACAATACTAACACACCTTGCCAAAATGAGACTTTCAAAAGAAAGGATAGCGCAGCCCGCAGATTAAAAGATGGCATCCAACTCATAATACCTTAATACCGAGCACATGTTAATTATGTCTTTCTATCATGCATTACAGATCATGCTTCAAGATTAAGTCGGAAGTGAGAGTTATTTATGTGGGGAGTAACGGTTTATGGCTTGACCTTAAGACAGCCAACAACGTTAAAATTTTTAGGGTAAAGCTTAGTTAAAGACCAGTTCAGTCGGAGAGGATCTTTTATTTCGCTAAACAATCAAAAAATCTCTAAATATAACATTCAGTCACTAAATGATCTGTACCTGCACGGGCACCAAATTGCAATTTAACTGTTATCGCTAAGCGCCTAAGACGATCGAGCTTTTAAATTAGTTCGATAATGCGATAATTTGTACAAATCCATCGTCCTTTAGGTTCCCACCGGTAGCGCCAGAACAACTCGAACCACTGCAATACGAGCCCCCACCTCCTCCAGCTTGGTTTGGATGCGTACCACTTCCTCCTCCAGAGTATCCCCCTCCTCCACCGGATGCACCATTATCCTCAGACCCACTACCTCCTCCACCAAACCCTCCTACCGCACCAGGGGGTGGCCCTCCATTATAACCACTATTCATTCCACCGGCTCTCCCTCCCACCCAGCCCTGAGCACGAGATCCACCTCTCTCGCCGTGTTGGGATCCTTTTCTGGCACATCCCTGACTTAACCACCCTGCACCCACTCCCCCATGATGGCTAGCATCTTTAGAATTACACTGACCGGGTTGTCCCCCAGTCCCTCCCGTTCGAACATGAGACGAGTCCTTCCCCACACTACTGGTACCACTAGTACCTGCCTGACCATCTACCCCGTTGTATCCCGCAGATGCACCCCCTCCCCCTCCGGCAGCTAACAACAGCGCATTACTTGATGTATAAACAAAACTTCCTCCCCCACCTCCTGTCCCAGCATTGTCCTCTACAGATAGACCTAGTTCAGCAGCCGTTCTGCTTGTAGATTGTCCTCCTTTAACCTCTACTGAATTTCCTCCTCTTTGTCCCACTACAATGTTCAGCACAGTTCCTTTATTCAGTCTGAATATCCCCTCCTTGAATGCACCCTTTCCACCGTAGTAGGTTCCAGGATAACTTCCATAATTAGTGGAATGTGTTCCTCCCCGAGCACCCCAGGCCTTGATCAAATAACGGGCAGTTATTGGAACTGTGAACTTCTGAATACTTCCCTGCCGTCCTTTGCGTCCGTTTGTTGTAAAGTTCAAGGGAGGACCTGTAAATTGATAATTATTACTTTTGTAAGTTTTAGCCTGCTTAGCAAGCGTTTCCGCTCTCTGTCAGCGCAGAACGCTGGCTATGCATGCAGGTTAGGCTGACATTGATTTTGCGTTAGTGGTCTCAAAATCGAATAGTTTCTATACTTCTTGCATTTTTAGGTCTAGTCGTCAAGTTTCTAAGACAATAAAAGTGAAAATTTGATACTCCACAATTTAGCTTACCTACTGCCCTGTGGTAAAGTTGTTACGATTTGAGACTGACAATAGTGTGCAGTTTACTACCGTAATGGCGGCTCCTGCCTAAGTTAAGGTAATATACCTATTCTTTAGCAATGTCAATTTTCAGGAGGCACGGAAAAAAGTTCACTCTATGCATATTTCCAAGTCAAATATCGCCCTGTAGAATTGGTTTAGAGTTGTAGAGTTAAAAAGAAGGTAAAAAGATTAAGTTTGTAGACGCAATGTAGTAGGGAGGGGGAATTACTATCCTCCAAGCAGTGAGAAATGTATTTTGGGGTATAAGATACAAAATCACTTTTCCGCGTGCTCGATTAAGTGAAAAGATATGACATGCCAGCCGACCCAAACATTCCTTACTTACGGGTATAGGTAACAATCACTTTTTTATGCGGCACATCTCTCACTGACCTGTTACTTTCAAGACAGTCGCTGCCTCTATGTTATAAAGTGGTAGCTTAGCTTCACAGACGTAAGAACCAGAATCAGAATTTTTAAGAGAGGAAATCGTCAATGTTCCATTTCGGTCACTCATACGTTCCCCTTCCCAGGCTCCACCGACACGTTTCCACGAAAGAGAGGCTCGATCAGAAGCAGAACAACGCAAGGTCAACTCTTCGCCTGTATATTTATTAACCCTGCTTGGTGGTTTCGTAACGAATGTGGGTGGAGACCAAACAAAAACAGAGGTTATAGAAGACTCTTGCCCCAGACGGTTTCTCGCTGTGCATTCATAGGGTCCTGTATCTTTTTTCTCTGCGGCGATCAAAGATAACGCCCCATCGTTAGAAACAGTTCTGTTCCTTGGAAGAACGCCCTTGACTCTCCTCCATGTGACAATAGGAGTAGGAAATCCCGTTACGTAGCATTTAGGAAGCCTTACGGTTAGCCCTGTTTTAACATGAGTGGGACCTGGATCGAGATGAATTCGAGGAGGAGCTAAAATAGGAAAATTGTAACGTCTTATCAACAAAATAAAATATCAATGCTTGTTACATTAGCTTGCAATACTCGAAAGTTATGGGAAACCTAGTGGGTCATTTTGAACCACATCAAAAACTCTAAAAAAGATCTTTCTTGTATACCTTATTGCAAAATTTTGTTAGATGGAGGGTGGGGGAATGCTGATCGATTTACTTATGCGTCCGAGCAGTAATCGGCTCTTGGTCCGAGAGATTATAAGGAAACGAACGACGTGTGCCTTAGTCTTTAGAGGTTCAGAAACCCAAACGTAGGGTCGTCCTTTGGTTAGTTTAAGAGCGCTTTGTTATAAAAGGTGAGGGTCCGTTTGAATTGTAACTAGAGTTGGAATCAACGTTATCTATAATAGCGAGCAGCAGGACACGATACTTTACTAATGATACTTTTACAAAACAAAGACGAAAATAAATGGCTTACAGAAATATACATATTAAAATTTCACATGTATTTACCTTCAACGGTCAACATAGCCGACTGATTCGTTGACCCAAGCAAATTTCTACCAACGCAGAGGTATTTCCCAGCATCTGATAGAGTCACGCGAGTTCCTATTAACTTTCCATCCGGTTGGTAACGGAAATGACTCTGTAAGCTTGACCCATTTGAACGATACCAAGTCACAGACGGTCGTGGGTTTCCCGTTGCAGAACACTGGAGCAATGCGTTCTGGTTTTCTCTGACAGTTTGATGATTAGGAGTAATCACGACTGATGGAAGCAAAATTGATTCTCCAGGATCCCCTTTTGCACCGGGGAATCCCCGAGGCCCCGGAGCACCTCTTTCTCCCTCTTTTCCCTTTTCACCAGGTGGTCCAGTGGGTCCCTGTTTTCCGTGCAGCCCTGGGCTCCCTGTGTCACCTCGTGGTCCTTTCCTTCCCGTGAATCCCCGCGGTCCTCTTCTGCCACGTGAGCCTTTAGGTCCTTGTATTCCCGGCGGACCTTGCATGCAGACTTTTTCTTTGGGTGAACAAAATGCCTGTGGCGTGCGCATCAAAGAATTTAAAGTCTTGTTTATCTCTTTTCTGACTGTTTCAACAGTAATCTCCGATTTAGCTCTACCTGGTTGTGATCGGCGGGTTCTTTGATTATCAACTGCAGATAACATTAAATATTAATTACATTTTCAAAATGTCAAACCTGTCACGCAGCAGAGTAGAGGAGTATCCCTTGTGGGATGCTTTTCCGATAATTTAAACGATGCAGTAAGAATCTTATATAGGTAGAGAAAAGAAGAGTGCAGTCTTGGGTACTTGAGATCTTTCATTTGATCTGAATCGCAAGACGTTTGCTTCAAATCAGGGACTTGAAAAATGAGAACTTAGGTGAAAAGATTGAAGCCTCAAGGCATGTAGCGACTTCCTTCCGAAATCGGAAACTTTTTGAATACCTTTCTCTCCTCCAGAGCCAGTTTAATGGATTCTTTCAAAAAAAAAAAAAAATGTCAGTGAATGTCAATCCAGAAGAGTGAAGGATCATGATCATTTCTTTAACTTTCAAAGTTAAATGAAGCCTCTTGGACCCACTACGTAAAGCTGCGTTAAAATGTTTTCCTAAACAAATTACGGACACCAGTGTCGTCCGCATGACAGGGGTGTTATAGAGGTTTGTATTGAACTTCACATTATCAGCATATTATTTGTCCAAGAAAACTGTCCATAATAGGCGTGATAAAGACGTA